GAAAACGGCGTTTCCTGCTCCCTCGGAGGGCGCCGCGCAGCTGGCAGGCTCCTTTGGGCGCCGCCGCCCTCGGCGTTCCCGCCCGGGAAGAAGCCGTTTCTGCTCGCTCGGAGGGCGCCGCGCCGCCCTCCGTCTCCGTTGGGTGCCGCGGTCCCGGCGAACACAAGTATTTTAAGCTTCACATTGGCAGTTTCCTGGTTGGAAGCATCTAACCATTGCATGCCTGTCTCCATGGCAGTCCTTAATACACACGCAGGATCCAGTGCCCAGTGAAACCAGTGAAAAGACCCGGACTCACAGGAACAAAACTTGTCTGCATAGCTGCAGAATGAGTCCTCTTCCCAGAGCGAGCACAGCCAACATTTCCAGCAATTTGTGGAAAGACATGTAGCCTTATGGAGGATGAACTGGGAGAGCGTCCTGCAATCCTGCATTTTCAAAAGAAACCAAGTGAGGTGTATACACACAGCGTCCTCACCGGGTTGTCCAAGGCGGATGGTGACTGTGTTGGACTTTTAGACACCCTGTGTGCCTAGATGAGAAAGGTGCACTGCAGGGTGCCCGTAATGTTGAAAGCCTTGGAAACACTTACTCAGGGTGATGAACTTCAGAAGACAGTGGCCTAGGCAGCCCCCAAACTCATCTCTGAGGGATGCTATAAACTCTCCCTGGGCTTGCGTGAAGACCCAAAGCCACAGACAGCGCGTTACCAGCCACGTGCTGGTGTCCCCTCATAGCAACTTGCCCAACACCAGGGGCCAAGGCTGGCTTGAGCTATAAGTTAGTTAGAAATCTGGGATACAAAGAATAACAAAATGTGTAACAGAAAGCAGTGCTTACTGTAGGGTAGTGCTTTATCCCACTTTTCCCCAGTTGTCTGGTTTTAACTGGGAGGAACAACATACTGTTGTAATTTGCCTGTGACTAATTGGCCATCTTGGGTATTTGACTAAACTATTTTTTTCCCCTCTCTTTCTCAACTCATGGGGCATATTTGCTATCAGCTAGAGTTCTGTTTATGTCTGGATTTGAGGGTTTGTACTGATTACTTCCTTCAGGAAGACCACAGTATGTTCTTACTACCCTGATTAAAGGATAGTTTCACATTTTTTCAGTACATTTTTAGAATTCTTGAGATCTTGTTTTTCACTCACATATACCAATCAAACTTTTAATGAGTTGCCAATTAACATTTCTGCAGAATAGAAATAATCTATTCATTTAGTGGCTTTGCTAGCTAAAGAGAATTTCAAGAACTGGTGTTTTCCCAGCTGCAAAACACAAAAACATTCACAGATGCTAACTAAATGGCCTATGCTGAATACATTTTATTGCCTAATTGATGTTTTTAAGAGCACCTTCCTGCTATATTTTTCCTTTTTATTTTTTATGACTGCGCTTACATTTGATTTCTTTGTATTTGCTGAATAGAAATTAACAAGTAAAGCAGAACATTTCAAAACCTGAAAATAGTCATCAGCATAGATTAAGGAAGATTGTTCGCACAGATTGCTACCTGCAGTGGCTCGAAGAAATATTTTTTTCCACAGCAGTGTTTCCTAATCTTCTTCATCTTTGTCCCGCAATACTCAGATGTAAGAGAAGTGTAAGCTCTAGAACTACTTTTTTTTTTTTTTTTTTTGGTATTTGCTTTTCTTTGGTGAGTATCAGCCCTTTAAAGGCTTCTGTTACTGTGATAAGTGAACTCCTAATTGCTCAGGGACTGTGCAGGGAGTTTTCAGCAAGCAGTTCAGTCAAGATGGCTTCACTCGTAACCTAATTCAGTTTGCCCAGTAGTTCTCCAATATCTGGGTGGTGAGTTCTTACAGTATTGTTTGCCACGGATTTTAGTCTTGAGTTCCTCATAATTTTTGTCAGAGATGCCCTAGAAATCACAATCAGAGGGGCTGCAGGTGTCCAAGCTTGGCCAGCTCTGTCTCTGAGCACTGGCAGACCAGGCAACAAGCGGTGAAGCGGAGCCCTGGCTTTCAGCTGAGCTGAGACCTCACCTCATTGCTCTGTGCAGCACGACTCATCTACGCCAGAGAATCCCAGAGTGCTTGGTGACCTCTGCGTGCTGCCTGTAAACTGATAATCTAAATCCAGAGGAAACCAGCTAATTGCATCCTGCCCTCTTCCTCATTCCTGATTTCTTAGCTCAGTTTGGGGATGGAAATGCTTCAGCATGTCCCTCAGTTCTGTAATAGTTTTACCTGAGCAAACACTTCAAGGTTTTGCCTGCAGTAGCATAAATATAAAACTGTATCTTCTCAGAAGGTGAAAACTAGTTTTATTTACTGCCGTTCATTTCCTTTAGCGGGAGTAATACAGGAAGGAGTGCTACAATTTCACTGTCTCAAAAGACAGTGAAACTCAATGACTCTGAGTTGCAGGATTGTAGGACCCAAGCTGGAGAAGAGGATTTGCCTGGGGGAAGATATTTAGGACAAAATGTTCAGATGTGGGGTGCCTCTGTTTGATTGCTCCCAGCATGAGTTATCTTGCCTGCTATTCCAAGAGTGGTTAAGTATTTATTTCTTCTGCTTAAATCTGGAAAAGCTTATTGTGTTCAGCAGTTAAAATGAACTTTTGGCTGGCCTTGAGTATGCAAGAGGGATCAGCTCTGGGTATGACAACGTAGGATTCAAGGAATCCAAAGCAAACTGGGCACGCTGTCTTCTCCTCCAAATCCTGACTATGCAAGGCATGTTAAGAAAAATCAGGAACTGGTCAGATGGAACAAGTAAATTGAGGTAAAAGTCTATTGGGAAAGAAATGGAATATAGAATTACATTAAAGATGGACAATCTTCCTAGTAGATACATATCAGTACTGAAAACTATAGCTTCCTATGTGCAGGTAATGCATTATGTGCAGCCTACGACAAGACTCACGACATTACGAGCCTGTTTGATTAGTCTGTCCAGCCTGAAGTTTCTGTCACAGGTGCAACAGATGTTGAAGCACAAGTGTAAACAGCGCTTCCACAGCTCCCAGTGTTTTATTGCTGCTATCTGCATATTCTGTATACACAGGAATGAGAAAAGAGCTCCCTTGCCTTAGTCTTACAGTACTTCCCCTCTCAGCCGGG